TTTCGCATTATCTCATCATTGGTGGTGAAGTCGTACAAACATATGGCACACCGATTGCCCATTGGATCGTTTAGTGTTGTCAACACATCCATCGCCTTCTCGATAATGTCGTAAAGCATTGGTTCCGTTGCCTTCTCCTCACAGACCGAATCAATCGATGACTTTATTCTGGAAATTAATAATTCATTAATTCAATGACAAGAAGGGATCAATTAATGGATACAAACATCTCTATCTTATCATCGGTTAAACCCCTTATGTTCTTGAACTCAATGTCCGGCCATTTGTTGGGATACTAAGAGATATAATTAATTCAAATATAATTAAATGCTATTTATATGACTAATCATAAAGTTTTTGATACATTTTGATGAATGCCAATCACAAGAGTGAGCCGAACCAACTGGTGGTCAGTATTGTGGCCCGTCTTCGGGCATACGTTGACACAAATAGTGGCCAAACGATCGGCCGATTGGTTCACTTCAACGGTAATGTCCTCTAAATAAATGGCTTCAATCACTTCCAACTCAGTCTCAATGCTATTCAATATTGAATCACAATTTAATCAATTAATTGCCAACAAATCAAATCAAATCAAAAAACAACAAACCTTTCACTCAAACCACGATTTGATGTCATTTTATATAATAATTACAAACGAGTTATAAATCAATTGATAATTAAATTCAATATAAGTGTAAAAAGTGGTCACAAAATGACAATTAAATGCTAATTAATGTCAAAAATTGACTCAAAATCAATGCCAATGACAGCAAATCATATGTTTGAATGGGTTGTCCACATATCACGTAACACAACAACAGTAACGCGTTTACGCAAACCCTTGTGTCATGTTTAACACTGAAACCCATTGAACGCAATGTAATTCTCTTGAAGGCAAGCGTTGGCCCCCTTTAGGCATAAGTCACTTGTTTTTCGTTGAAACAACGCTTTGCACTCAAACCACACATTATTACCACAAAAAGCCGAGTCTTGAGTTTGAGTCGACTTTTGGGATCAGTTATTGTTGGACAAGAAGAGAGGACAGACTCATCGATTGGTTGCAATGCTTCCGCTATCACTGCTGAGAACGGCTCAAAACCACCCGATGTTAGTGGAGCTGAAGAATGGGGAGACATATAACGGCCATTTAGTCAGTTGTGACAATTGGATGAATATTAA